CAAATGCAGACTATTCTGTAAAAAAGGTGCCTTTTCTTTTTGCTGAGATATGCCTGAGCACCGATAAAAGTGTATTTAGGAGCTCGCTCGGTCAAGGTAGCAGCCAAACCTCACATGAAGGTTTGAATCATAATCAAGCCAAGGCTCATTTATTTCTTAGCAACGAACTTGCTTTTCTCGTTGCTGTTTTAGGATTCAAAACGTCTACAAAATGTTATGTTATGATACGTTACACTACTGCCGTCTGCTGTTGGAGAAAACCTTTTAAGGAATCAGTTATTGTTAAAACTTCCTTCTCAAAAGAAATTCATTGATTTGCATTGAGATACATCTTAGAGGGAAGTATTTTCTGAATCACTGCATCCAGTCTAAATCACGTAAACCACTTACTGTAACCTTGTATCTCTCTACAGAATGTTGCATCAACTCTGGATTCAATGTAAGTTACATAATGGTTAAAAAAAGATTATCTGCAAGCCACACTCATTAGCCGTCAGGGCCCCCTATTTAAGCAAACTCTGTCTCTTACAGAAACAATGACTTCAAAAGAGGCCACTGCAAAGGTTACTTAGCAACACCAAATCGCTTTTCTACTCCTTTTCTTAATTCGGAGCATTTTACCTTATTTTCTTCCCTTCTAAGAAATCGTTTTTCTTCTTTCATTCATTCCTTCTTCTGTGTTCACAATTTCGCACTACTAAGTCTGCCCCGGTTCCCCACATCATCAAAGCGCGATCAGCAACAACGCACAAAGTGTGATAGTAGGAAAAAAGCCTTCCCATCACCTAATCCTCGCTCACTGCATATCTTATCACCAGGACTTCAGAGGAGTAAGTTATAAGGCTTCAATAAGTGCCCTATAACCTCACTGTTTGGACACTGCGATTGACAGCCACCCACTAATTTGTCACCCCTCAATAACAATAAATAAATGATAAGCGTAGTGACAAATTAATAAATTCGAATAACACACAAATTTTCCATCTTTTAGTCTCCTGAATATAGTGCGATTGGAAAATTTAGCCATTCGAAGCTATATAGAGCGCCAGCAGGTAAGTGCCATTGACGTGTTCTGAGTGGCTTTTTAAAATGGGTTTTTCAGTAGCAGCGGGACTAATATCTTTTCTTTTTTGGAACTGAATCCTCAACCAGTATATTTCAAAGAAATGATAAATACCCTGAGGAAAACAATTGATTCTGAGGGATACCAGAAACATTATAAAATTCCAAAAATCAAGAAAAAATGTTTACATCCCTCTGGCATGGTTATTCTGGAAATGATTTGCACTTGAAACATAACATCCTATTTCTAAAATGTTGAATCGTCAATTTTCTTATGAAGGTTACATCCGTTTTACTTCTAAAGTGATTATCAGAGGAACTCTTCACGTGTGTTTACTGCTTCTAAGCTTTACTTTTTTTTTCTCAATTGACAGTTGCAGTAGTTGCTCAGTCCTCAAGACGACACGCCTGAAGGGGGAAACTATCTATGCATTTTTTAAAGAGATTACCATCAATCTGTAATAACTTTTCTATTAAACGCTCCGACGTCCGCTTTTTGTGTAATACCAGAAGTTTTGCCGTATTTTCATGGTTCATTCTTCCCTACAAGAAGGCAAACTAAAGTCACTTAGGGAATACCATCATCTTTACTCCCTTAAGAATCCCTCATGATCGCCCATGAGACATGCGTCGCACACAGGGATAACTAAACCATCACCATGGTTTCAGAGTTACCCAAATAATGACGAGTAAAAAGTAAAAGTAGGTCTATTTTACCTTTTTTAATTGGGAAGCAAAGGTTTTACGATACTTTTCTTGGCTTCTTCACTTGTATCATGTCGAAATAATTAATAGCAGCCTTCACATCTCCGACGGCTTTGGGTAACGGAAACTCCTCTGTTTGTGTTAAGGAAAACAGTGGAATTTAATCACCTTTGTCGAGATCCTTTTGCCACGAGTTTCTTCTTTAGTATCTATCTTCATACTTCGCACGCTAATTTTTGATAAATGCACTAATACTCTTGTTACATCCTTCGCAAACATATCAGTTAGGTTGACCATAAAAATTTAAAATGAGGCGCCATTACAAATTTCGTGGAATGAATTAAACGTCACATTCACGCACTCATTTCCGTGGTACCTTAATTTCGCCCAATCAACGCGAAAAGGAGTGTCAGCAGTTTGAGTTTTGCAGGTTGTGGAGACAACATTTCTTTACTGATTCCTATATGGTGGCTAACGAGAAATTTCGTATTAGTAAGCCAATCTTTTAAAGGATTAAAATAATTATGGCACCGTCAACAACACTGCGCTATAGTATGTCACACTTCCGATCATGGGCGGCCAATCTACTCGAGGTAAGTACCAGTTCAAATTCTGAAAAGAGTTGCAGAATCTTTCTGAATTAGCCTCAGGTTCAAGAAAAATATAAAAGTTTTCCAACACGAAAGGTATAATTCATCACGATTTAGGCTCTTTTGAGAGGGGGACCAAGTGAACTCCGCATAATGAAAATTTCTACAGTTCCAAATAGCACTCTGTCTTGGCAAGTCAACGAAATTCGTTTCCTCCATTTCAACGGTTCGCCATTGGAACATTACGGTTGGTTTTCAATAGGAACGGATTTGGTCTCAAGGGCGCCTGTGACCTAGCGAAAACTAGATTGCTGTAGTCTCTCTGCTCTTCTGATCACGGCTACTGATTCCAAATCATTGATTTCATATAAATACGCTGCAAGCTCCAAAAGAATGTGAAACATTGCCTTGTTCATTGACCTGCGACACTGGAAAAAAACGGCGACGGCTCTATGTACTTAAGATGGATGACATGAGAGTAATATAATTGTCACGTAATGAAGATTACAACGATGCTCGATTTGCCAATTGCCAATATTAATGATGCGGTCTGCTTTATGGACTTCGGAACAACGCCAACGCTCCGGATCGGGACAAACATCCTGTCCCAAAACCCAACATTTGACATCCATCCCCGGAAAGGACTTTTAAAAGCTGGACGGCGAGGAACTGCTAAAGTTCGAATAGCTTAGGAAAAAGCTGTAACCTGCAGCCACCGTCTGTAGAACACGCCCTCTACTATCGGCGAATGGCCGAAGAGAGACTTGAAAGACCTTTGAATTATGAGCAACCTGCCGAAGCGGAGGAACTTGTTCAACAGGCTGGTATCTTTCCACAGTCGTAACTTTCACTGCTAAGCCACTTTTAGACTATTTTCAAAGTCGTTGCCTCATCACACATAAATTAGATATTACTGCCATAATTAAACAAAGAAAACTCGCACCAGCATGAGCCCACGGTGGAGACCTTATTCACACATCAAGATTATGCGCAATAAGATATAGTTTAATGAGAACCACGAGAACCACGACAGCCTAAAAGAAACCTTTCAACACATTATAGTACAAGACTATAATATTTCTGCCGACTCTGAACCAAGGTAAGGGTAAAGACTTAGTGTTTTCGATTAACTGACTCCTTAGAGAAACTTAATTAACCGGCTGATCAGATTATGCAATTTTAATCTGGTTGGATTCGGATAAATGCGACAGAATTACTTCCAGGCGTAGTTGTGTATAACATTTTGAGCACCACCTAATTCCATATCAATATCTCAGTTTCTTTTGATGACAGCCGTAACGAAGTATACGTAATTACCGTGCGTTTTACAGCGTCGATCTTCCGCTAGGTGTCATTTGGTGATTCAAAGATTGCCTCTCTGTTACTATTACGTTCGTAAGCATTTACAAATTTACATTCAAATAAGTTTAGACAGCTTGATTCAAATATGATCTTCGCACGCCACGGCTCGGCGCCACTAGACCGTGTCTATTGTCGGCGACTTCAAGGGTGCTCAAGACTCATAACTACAAAATTAAAACTAAAACGCATCAGCTGATGCGTTACGGAAAACCTTAAGAGAACACCCACACAGTTCCAATTATTTGAATGACAATCGGCATTGTAAGAGTAAAAAAGAACCTGACGGCAAATTACACCGCCGAGTCAATAGCCACTTCTAAAGCGACGATCAAATGTCACATCAGAGATTAATACCCTATCGTATTTTAATTGTTCGTAATTAACAAAGTACTTAGATAAACATGTGTACTATTCAAAAAGGCTGTTTCGTAAACATCTCTCTTAAGCCTATCAAATCACATGCTTAATCATTAAAGGTACCTGCTGTGCTAATTGTGAGGACTAAAATAGTTTTAAACACAAACTAAACAAACGTACAAAACAAAATAAAACTTTGCCTATTTAAATTAAGTTATCATTTCCGGTTGACAGCATGACATGCAGAGATTAACAAAGATAAATATTGGAGCAATTTCAAAGGCCGGATGAATTCAATTGAAGCTGTAATATTTATAAAGGCGACACAGTTTCGCGTGACCTTGAGTGTAAAACGAGAAATGAGCTTTGGCTGTCTATTTTTCCCTTGGTTAATGTGAATTGGTTCATTAGGACTGAAAAATCTCTAAACAACGAAAAAACAAACAACGAAAGTTTGTTTTTCTTTCTCTTTCAAGTCCAACAAAAACCCAATTTAAAGATGCTTTCCTTCTATAGGCATCTATTTCCGTTAACGTACTCTTGCTTTTTTACGTTTTTCTGAAACGCTACAGAATGCATCGACTAAACTGACTTTTCGGAGAAAAGATGTTCAAACAATTATTACAGTTCTATGGCTGAACACGTTCACAAACGGGGTTACAGTACCCAGTTTCTTTCAATAGAACTACTTGAAGGGACAGGAGGCACTGCATAATACATGTAACTTTATGATAAAAACCCTTTCGACATAAACTACAATTAAACATTTGGAAAGTAATTTGTTTGTGATAAGAAGCCACTTTTTCCTTGGGTCGGCATTAGTTAATATGCACCATTAAGAAAACGTACTCGCTGAAAATCAAAATTGTATAGTTTCTGTCGTTACATTTATCCTCACATAAATATTGTTTTATATTACTTTAGATGGCTGCGAAAAGCAAAGAGGTAAGAAAACCAATTTTCTTTGGTACTGTTTTATTTGCACAATAAGACTTTTCCCGCGGCAAATTTGCATCAACGCCTAACTCATATGAAAGAGAAACATTTTAGCTCAATTTGTAACAAGTTAAAGTGAAATAGCTAATTTCTGATGTAATCACAATTCGTTTGCTTCTATATAGAATTTAGTTTATTGCAATCTAAAGTTTTAACAGAATCGGGAAATTACTTCTCTTTCTGGTTTCGACGAGACAGATTTAGATCTGAAGAGACTCGCACATGTATATTTGTATCCATTTTTAGTGTGAAGATTCAAGTTCTTCCGTGGAAGAAGAGGAAGGAAGAGAGTGAGTCTTGCTTGTATACTTACGAAAACTTATTTATTCCCGAAAGTATCCCTTTTGTTAAAAATCAAAGTGACTCCGTAATTGATGCCCTAGCATTAATACCTGGGTTTAAGTACAATTTGGTGCTTTGTTCAGAAGTTAGGTGCCAACGACAAAGCTCCAAAATATCCTGGTTTTATTGCCTAAGAGCAGTGTCTCGTCATTCTTGCCGTGCAGATGAGCCACATCCCAGTTTTTACTTACGCAGTTTAGACAATTAACCAGCATCGACACGGGTGATAAGAATAGCGAACCCTGTTACTGTACCTACTAGCACAGAGGTAAACACAGGTTAAAACCAAAAATAAGAAACTTGAGTTGCACAGACCATGGGGAGTTCTTTCCATCATACCCTCGGATAGTTAGATTACACTTCTGAAATTTGTTATCTATATCAAGCCAATCTTAAATTTCGGTAGCATGAAAATGTATTTCAATCAAATCAAAAATGTGAAAAGCATTCAAAGCTACCTTTAGTGGACTGAAAATTGACAAAGTTCTGCTATAAATAATTCTAATAATAGCTGTAAATCCACCCTTCTTCAGAAAAGCCCCCTCATAACCTTGTTCATCACAATGATTATGTCGCAAATGTCACAGAACACTTCAGCCTGATCAAACAGAAGAAGAACGAATACTTTTGCAAGGCAACAACAACAGGACTTTTGATGGCTTGGAAAATGATAGTCGGGTAAGTGTTTGAGACAAGATTGTACAAGCCTTTACAATTGAGTGTGCCCAGTCAAAGGTCGTTATTGACTGTTCAAATGCCTCAGTAGTATTAACAAAGAGTTAAGTATTACCATCGTCAAGGTCAACGCTATTGATTCGACGGGATGATTGACTGTAGAAAGACACGTATATCAATTGTAATGTTATCTTCCTACAGATTAACAACAACGTCGCAGCTCAGCAGGCTCTGATGGAAGCAAAGTAAGTCATACACTATTTACTACCCCCGCAGACCTTATGCAATACACACAAACTTTCATTCGCATAATTCTGGTTAACTAAAGCAAAAAGTAAAACAGATGTCCTTTTCAATTTTGCAGCATTATGTACGGAGTCCGCGAAGGATGTGAATTGATCAGGGCCCTCAATGGGGTAGGAGAATAAAAAAAGGAAGTTAATGAACAATAATTATGTTCACATTTCAAAAGAAAGGAAAATAGAAGGGGAAAAAAATGAGTTTGACTTAGCCGACCTTAATGCAATTACGTTGTCCTGTGAAATGCAAAAAAAAATACTCAAAACAGTGAAAGAAAAGGTAGATGTCAGGAAAATTATTCCAAAAACAAAATTTCAAAAAAATTACACAACATTGGAAAGGAGACGCACCTTATTTTTTTAAAATTAACTTAAAGTTCAACAACTACTGAGATTCAAGGAAGTAATTTTGTGTCCTGTTTTTCCTATTCTCCTTTGAAATGTGGCTGTCTAGTGTATATACATGTATATGAAAAGCGCGCGATATCTCGGTTTCCGTTATCAAGAACTTGACGTCGCAACGCCTAAATAACGGAACATAACTGTGTACATTTTTGTTAGAATGACTACGAGCCGTTCCCTGGTTGGACGACATCCGGGCAAAGAATTCAACAGTGCACCGAACTGAACCCCCCCATGGTAAGCGAAACAAAATTTTATGCATCGAATAAGAAAAAATGATTTATATTATAATGAACGATCTAAGAAACGAGAGAGCCATTGTTTTCCTTTTCCATTCAAACTAACCTGAAATGTGGCTGTCTAGTGTATATACATGTATATGAAAAGCGCGCGATATATCGGTTTCCGTTATCAAGAACTTGACGTCGCGACGCCTAAATAACGGAACATAACCGTGTACATTTTTGTTAGAATGACTACGAGCCATTCCCTGGTTGGACGACATCCGGGCAAAGAATTCAACAGTGCACCGAACTGTACCCCCCCCATGGTAAGCGAAACAAAATTTTATGCATCGAATAAGAAAAAAATGATTTATATTATAATGAACGATCTAAGAAACGAGAGAGCCACTGTTTTCCTTTTCCATTCAAACTAACCGGCTAGAAAGCACTTGTAATTCAAGACACTTATTGACTTGTGCTGATTAAACGTAAATTAATGATTGTTTGCTGTAAATTTACTTCTATGGCTTCGAAGAGTCATTCGACTACGAGTAACTAGACATTGCTTTATCAAGAGGGAGGAAAGGTATGAGAATTAATCGTGCAAAGAATTCAGATTAAAAAATATCCTTTTCAAGATTGGACACGACGAAGAAGAACAGGACCTTGTTATACAGGTGAACAACTGAAATAATTTATTCCAATGAAAGAGCAGCAGAGCAGGTCATTTTTCTCGCAAAATATCTGCTTACTTGCTTTTCTCCAATTTCATCTTTTAAAGGCATCGGATGACGAGAACCAGCTTGATGAGGCCATTTTTATATTTATTATAATTTTTTTCTACTTGTCTGAGAATTTCCTAACTTTGAAATAAAATTCTATTAGATTGTATGTTTACGTTCGTGTATCCTTTAGGCTGAGCAAATAAAGTATTGTAAAAGTTATCATTCTTTTGCCTTGACATGGATGCCTACATCTACCAGAATGCTCTGACGAGGTCAAGTGATATCATACTGTCATTTCCACTCCATACACACTTGACCTCATCTGGCTTGTCTCTTCGGTGTTTTGAAAATTCACTCAAATTAAATGGAATTTAACAATAAAAAAACCCCAAAGAAAAACAAACAATTTTAAACTTTCATTTTCAACTGTTCGCATCACACGTTTCTGTGGGGAAAATAATTAAGGGGGGCCGGTAGCACAAGGCACACGATATCATAGAATAGGGTCGGAATGATAATTTTTCTTCTCTTTCCTAATTCATATTCACGCTAATTTTCGATAATCTTGTTTAAATTCCAATTTCTTAAAAAAGAGTTAATTTCTTGAAAGTTTAACCTGAAGAATAAAAGTGCTGCAAGACTCAGGATCATACCTGACAACCCATTTCACTCATAAAGCCCTAGCAAGTCTGCAACGGAAGCACAAGTTCTTGCCCTTTTGGAGACGTTGGCATTCCTTTGTTATGCTGAGAAAAACACTCACGTCACAGGAGACACTGAGTCATCGACGATAAATACCACTTTAGTGAAGGAGGTCAGGCTCATAAAGTTTCACTGCGTAAAAAACGCTACACTTGCAGGTTTAACTTCTGCTTCGAAAACATTTTTTACTACTTGAAAGGGATTTGACCCCGGGGAAATTTCCGAGTGCAACAATGGCAAAACTGCAAAACCAGCGGCGTTCATGAGAGAAGCGAGCGACCGCTAAAAAAACAAAACGTTCACAATTGCCACTAGATATCTTTCTTTTGTTTTTCTGTTGTCTTCAATCAGTCTCTGTTTGTTGTCATGCCTACGATATGCTCCGATAAACCCGACTTGAAAACATGAAAATCGTATCTTATTAACATGACAGTTCATGTCATATCTGCATATATAAACATCAAAATTAAGGGCTTTTTTGCCAACAATTCTCTTCTAGTCTTGATTAACGGATGTTTATGGTCGAACTGCCCGAAGAGCAGTACGTCTAAGCTGACTTTCACATTCTTATTATAAAATACATGTTGAAGATTCTAGATCTCGCTTTAACAAAGACAGTCGCCCACTCATTGTTAAATTGTCCCACTATAAATAGTTTCAGTTTCCGAATGAAGTCATCAAAAATACAAAATACTTGGGCAACCCACCGTATTTAAAACGTCATATACTTTCACCTACAATTTAATCTCCTTGTGAAAAAGGAACTTCATCGAATGTTATGTAAAAACCACCTTGACATGCTTAAAGGATCATCTTAAATTTGGTCCTTAATTGACGTAATAAACAAGTTTGACAAAACCTGCCCAGACTTGCACATTCCAAATATTTCCCCGTTGGGCTTTTTCCCTAGTTAAAGCAGGAAAAAAAAATCCCCGTCTAAAAGATTTAAGAAACTTGCACGAAATCATTTTCTCCATTAGCACTCTAAGGAGACAAGTTCTGCAGTGAGGAGTGCGCTTTAAACTGCATTCGAACGAGTGCAGCGACAATGGGACGGAGGTACAGGTCTGTAGGTCTGCTGACAACATCACACTACCATTCCTACTCAAAATATTTAAATTACAGTGCTACACTGTACATGTAAATTGAACCACAAGCAAATTGTCTATCCTCTCTTAAACACAACGAACATATTCACGACATATAAAACTAAACAAGGCTTTGTATTGATTTAGAAGTTAAGAGAAATGAGATTAAGTCTCTAAAGATGCACAGAATTTTCTCCCTGTGTGACGCAATGAGTAACTCTGAAGTAAATCCTTGTCATACGTGCTCTACAGAAACCAAGCACCGCCAAGTCAGTATAAGGTGGCATGGGCGAGGAAACTACAAATACAGACCTAACTATAGACATGATGGACGCATTCTGAATGAAGGAGGGATGTTTTGGGAGATTGATGGCATATGTGCGTTTTCAATATCAATATATCAGATTTATCACCGAATTTCTTCACTATGTTTTGCTTGCATATGCCATATACTGCATGGAAGCACAATGGATAGCCAAAGTAAGTCTATTTTCGCCTTGTTTGTCTTTCAAGTAGTAACTCAATCGTTGGTGTAGCCTACGAGTAGTTGTACCCTCCCCCTAGCAGAAACGGAGTAACGTTTCTCCTGGGGAAAGAAAAGGGTACTGCTACGCTATCGTTAGTCCTAGCAACAAATCGTAATTGTAAATCAGTTTCGTTGCCGTTCCAAAATGATCAGTCGTTGGTGGTGAACCTCAATCGCTTGTGCTGTTTCACCAATAGGACTTCAATTGAATGCGCTAATTATGAATCGCTGGTGTTCTGAGGCAGATCGATAGCACTAAATATCAATCGTAGTTTTCAGTATCAATCGATAGTGTTCGACCTTCATCACTGGTGTTGTTTTTAAAATACAGCCATCGTAACAATGTCGATTGCCAGTGTTGCAACCGATCGTTCGTAATAAGTATAAATCGCCATCGTAAAACGTCAATTGTTAGTGCTAATATCGGTTTTTTTATTGATTCTACCCCTCCATGGGGATTATGGAGGCAATCAAAATAATTGTACCCCAAGCGGCACAAAACAAACTTAAAAAAAGAAACTAAACGCAAACCTAAAATTAATTGACACAAACGACCACGCTTCTACCAAGCCAAGCCAGTGCATGATTTCTTTCTTGATTTCTAATTAATCATTTCATTTCCACTTGATCCTTTAGAAGAGTTCCTATTTTCCTCTCATCCTCAGCTATTATGAGCTAACAACGCCAACAATGACTTTCCGTACTTAAAACATCACGGTGATTGTACATATATTTCTAGGGTTTTGCAGCATTGCTTGGCACACCTTGCTTCAGAACCTGGCATAGCTCCAAAAGTAAAGGTGAACGAAATATGGATACCATAGAGATACCCCAATTCCGGTGGATGGGTACGGGTGAATTACCGGTAACCGTACCCGTGAAATGTGGCGAGGGGATCAACTAAAGTAACCTGGACTAAACGTAAGAGGATTGGAAACATCTCCTTTACTTCTTGGTAAACATGGCGGCTGCCAAGGCCAGGTTTGTAGCCTCATTTTCTAACCGTATTTGTTCGTACTTTTCTTGAATTTGCTCAGTTGTTTTTCGCTGAACAGGGTTTCATATATTTTGCTCCTTCTTTATAAGACTCAAAAAGAATCGGTTTTGGCTGAGCTTAGTATAAATAAGTATGTACACAAAAACTATACCCTCGATTTCTCAGTCGAGCACAATTGTTCCGCTGCCCATGACTGTAAAGATACGCTCCAAATTCTTGGAAACTACCCTTTAAAAACATATTAATGGCTAATAAGCTTGATAAGGTTCACAAAGTGGCTAGTACAATTTTGTCCGCTAAAAGAATTTTTCGGCTATGAACAAGTCTCCGCACTTCGTCGCTTTCAATGATCAAACAGTTGGTTTTCGGTCAATTTTTCTTTTTAATTAGACTTAACTTGGTACAAACATATACTACACAACACAAACTGACCATTTAGCTCATTTTACTATTCCGCGTCGTTTGCTGGTCTGCTCTGCTTTCCCGTCATTCCCGTGAGTAACCACGCGTAGACGGCTAGGTTACCCGGTAGTAAGATGATGTCACTATCAAATATGGACAAACATGGCGCCCTACCACTACTACTCCTCACTTGAGTCTTCTTTTGGTTTATTGCGCGCTGCTCATCCAATAGTAAAAAAAATTAAATGGCAGCCAAAACAAAATTTTCACACCTGTCCGCAAGTTTCACAAAGCAAAATTTGAACACATTTACGGCCGTTTTGATAACTTCAATGGACTGTGACTTGGATTTCTGTAAAAACTGTCCATCAAATCTCAGCCAATCATGTGCATATTTATATTGGGCCTCCGCCAGGGACCCTGACACGAGGTTCCAAAAGTTAGTCAGTCACATAGTAAACCGCTCAAGCAAAAGCCACTTTTGCACACAAACCAACCTCAAGCTTAATTCATTAGCAGCTAAGGTAAGAAAATTTCCTATTTTATCCATCCATTCGCTAGTAGTTCGCGAATCTTGCAGCCTTACGACCCGTGCTAGGAAGAATGCCAAGGGGAAAGTAAGGAAATACGGTCTTCCTATAACGAGAAGAGTTAGAGGTGTTTAGCGCTGTTTATGTTTCTGCAAAACGTTAAGAGAAATATTGTACACTATGAGCAATAAGTAGTTAAAGGTGGGTTAAAACCCATCAACATCGCGCAGACTTGCTCTATATCGTATAAGAGCGCAGCCGAGAGAATATTTAGATGTTCAATTCATCCTTATCGAATTTCGCCAAACCGCCATTACCAGTACTTGAACAGTTAAGGAAATCGAAGCAACAATTAAAAGACTTAAGTATTAAATCACAACACATATACCATGTTTGAGAAATTTGCTTATTTGTACGTTCAGAGAATATATCGAATCAAAGTATTGACGCGGTATGGCTAACGTATACCCAAGCAAGATTTCATGCCGCAATAAATCCCTGGAATAGCAGAATGGCGTGGAATAACGTGTCATTTGAACTCATTAAACACGACTCGATCCCGAAAAGCTAGTGAAAATTCAAAGTATTTCAAAGTACGAGAATACTACCGGTTTTGTTCCAACGACAACACAGCAAAATGAGTGACGAACCCAGTAGCGTAGACGATATCCTTGGAACAATGGATAAAGGCGATATAAAAATTTGCATATTGACGCAATTAACCCTGTTTTATTTTGTGTTTGTGATGCTGTAGAACTATCAAAGGCGCAGTCAATGGCCAACGCTGACAGAAATGTTTACGCGAGTGCCAAATGTGTACCAAATTTAGAGAAAATAAAATAGAATCATAAGTGGTCCTACAAAAACATCGCAGTAAATCCTACATACAGGTCTCATTTAAGAAATAGTTTCATTCTTTCTTACCGAAAAAATCAAGCCATATCAAAGGTATTCGTAACAGCATAGAAGTGGGACCTGTACACCTTCATACAGGGCCTCAAGAGTAATCGAAATGCCTGAAAATCAAACATTGCCCATGTGCAAGGTTGAGGTCAAACCTTTCATGAAAGCCCTTGATTTCAAGACAAGCAACGTTAAAATGTACTAGATACCTGTGACCGAAGCAATCACTTAAATGACACGCATGTAAATTCTCATATTAGCAGCAGAAGTAAACTGAAAATTAAATTAGTATTATTTTTACATGTATCACTTCACAAAGTTTTGATATTTTAATCAAAGCCTAACTTTCCTTCACCTCATTGCTGTGAGGAGTTTAATCACCTTACTTTTATATTATGTCCAGATATGGCGACTTACATTCTGTTTTGTATTTTTTTCTAGTTCCAAAACAGGTTTATGGGCTCATATTCGTAAGTTATTGACTCTTCTCTACTTTTATGTATGCCACATGCTCAAATACATAATTGTGTAACCCAAGGGGTTTTCCCCTTGTAATAAATGATTGTTCTTTCATTTTGAGATGTACCTTTAAATCGTTACTTGAGATGACTATATACTGTAAGTTGTAAATGAACAAGCCTTAAGGTTAACATAAAAAACATTGATTTTTCCCTGTTTGTCCAAGTAGAATTTTTTAAAGTGAGAACTGTATTAACCCTTCAACTCCCAAGATCTGATTGTGAATTCTCCCCTCTAGCTGCTACACATTTCTGTAAATTAGTTTTGAGAATTTGTTGTTAGATCAAGATAACAACTTTGACCTACTAAGTGTGAGACTATTCTCATTACCTGTTTGCTTGTTAATGTAAGGATATTATGGGAGTCAAAGGGTTGAGCAAGCCCCTCATGATGTAGACACCTTCACCAATTAACAATCTAATCCAAATTTTTACACCCTTGTTCACTGAAAATTAACCAAGATTTGACACTCACATCAAGCTGATACAGACATACCGAGGGAATTCCTCAACAACTTTAAGTTTAAGTTTAACGTATGAGTAGACTATTGGACTATGATTGACACCAACAAACAAGGACACTACTTCACTGTTACACCTATACATGTGTACATGACCAATTACTGTGGTGACTAGAGGTTTTTAATCACCATTAAGTCACTATGTACATACTTGTGTATTAAGTTTCAATGAATATTCATTGTTCACGCCCATCACCTAGGACATTACACTAGACACAGGCCATAGCAAATACACTTACCTATTTCTTGTTTATTTCATTATAGAGAAGATATGGCATTCAGCTTGTCTCAAATTCAGATACAGGATCTAGGGGTAAGAAAAAAACCTGTAACTAGATAAATCATCATGCAGTATTTTCCAGAAAAAAGAAGCCAGCTTAAAATTCAGTGTCCTCCCTAACTAACAGACTACTTCTCTTATCCCTTCCTAGGCCAAATTTTCAATATGATCCCATATAAAGTAGCTGTCTGTTATCTGGTTTTCAATCTGTTGAACTTGCAGAAAAATGAGTGCAAATATTGACACTATTGAGTAACACACATTTACCCAACTAACAAAGAGAGTATACTAATTATTTTGTACAACTCAATAATAATTTCCTTTACACAGATAACTGCTGATACACCAAATATCCACCCAAGGTAAACGATCAGAATTACTGTCATAATCATGTCAGAATACAGCATCTTGTGCATTGCATGTCTACTTTAATTATCATACTGTACATGTATATACTTGGAAACACCAGCTATCCTTAAAGAAAAAGAGGATTTTAAGAATATTTAAGAATATTTATATAAGGCTGTAAATACAGTGTGTAGATTCATACTGTATCATGGCTTCCCTCTCCTCAGGTTACTAAGACACCCTTCATATCTCAAAACTGGCTAAACTTTGCAAAAGAACCAGAGAGGTTGACTTGGAAATGACAAGTTTCCAAAGTGTTGAAAAATAACGAAGTGCAGTTAACCATAATCATAATTCTTTGAAAAATTTGAATATTTTCCCTCCAAGTGACACACTGCTAAAGATCAAGATTTTGATTTCTTGTACATCTCTACCAAAAACTGTCAACACTTTTTAAAGAAAAAACAATCCATGTACATATCAAATAGAATGCACATTATACTTGTGGGAGTACCCTTGGTCTCTTGGGCCTATTTTTCTAATTAAACCGAAAAGTAAATTAGACAGGGTGTGTTTATCTACATGTATACCAGCAAATCATATGTAACAATTACCTAGCCTAATTCCAGCAAACTTGTTTGAGTTGATTCTTATTGATTAATTAAACACATTGTTTGATGGTGAGCAAAATAACATAATTGGGAATGCGCATGAAACTGTTGAATACTACTGTATATCTAGTTCAGATAGAGAAAGAAGAGTCTAAAAGTAGATTTTGCAAAGAAAATAACACTAGGAGTCACAATTCCAACTTAAGCATTTTAGATGGAAGATCAAAATCACTGCCCTCATACTCATTTTGTGGCAATATGCAGGCAACCCATGCAGGAAACACCTGACAACATGCCAGCAAATCAAGGTACCATGCAAGGAATTCATGACAATATGCAAGGAATTCATGACAATATGCAAGGAATTCATGGCAATTTGCAACCAATTCATGGCAATGTACAAGCCATCCATGGCCATATGGAAGCAATACATGCATTCGACTGGCATATGCATCTATTTGACGGAACGGTAAGTACCACATAACATTGGTTAGCCAACAGAATATTTACAAGTATTTTGAGCATGTTGAGTGATAAATACACAAAGGAGAAAACTGACCTCCACATTAACTAAATTTAGCAACTACTGTGTTGAATTTTGAATGTGCAAGGATCATGTTTTCTCCTCTTATATTAGATGGTACATAAATTTTCTGAGGATTATTTGCATTTACATATTTCCTGTTTAAAACTGAAGTTTGAGAGTAGAGTATCCTTTAAACTTTCTTCTACAAACTTCTATAAAATTCAGAAATAAAATTGAAATGGAAAAGATGAAATTATAAAAATAACCACATTCATGTAAAGTACATGCATCTTTGGAAAATATATTCCTTATACAAATGCCTGCTATTTTCCATCTGTTGATATATACCACTGGTTTCGACAGTGTAAACAGTAAAAATCACCTAAAAGAATAGATTTGTCCAGATTAAATGAACACCAAACTCACTTTAATGACTGAATAAGGCAATTTTCCATTCAGAGTCAAAAGAAAAAAAATAATACAAGATTGCATTAGTTATGCTTCACAAATGTAACTCAAGTCAAGACTTGGCCACTGCATTTATTCTGTTTGTAGTTCCCTGGATACTTCTTAAATTTATGGAACTTGAGAAGGGGCACTTATTTAAGGAGAGCCTTTATTAGAGACTTGGCTGTTATTAAATTTTTCTCACTAATCAGAAATTGGTTCGGTCATTTTGAAACAATACTTCTCCTGTGCACTTTACTTTTTCATGGGGTTTGGGGTGCTTATTCACAGCTGGGTGCCTATTAACTTTTCCTACCTACAGGGTGCACACTTAATCAAGGTGGGCACCTTCTTGAGGTTGCATGCTTAATACAATTAATACATTACTTGCATTTTCCTTTGCTTCAGGCTGTTTTTTTTAATCCGAGTGCATAACGGCTCACCTTAATTTACATTTTAACAATCAATGGAAAATTGCATTATTTCTCAAAAGTCATACCAACTTGCATGACTAAAGGCTATTTTTAGGCAACAAGGTATTGTACCTGTCAAGGTACAAATATTGCTATAAAATACTTCTTTATACCCAATATTAGTTTTTTCTTTAACTTAAAACAGGGAAGTGAAGAACTGTAAAAGACCCTGCCTCATCGAAGACTGTTGCATGATAACTTGCAAGACACTCAGGTTAGCAAGTAGAGTGCAGATGATAAAATTTACAAACTTAAAGGTATATGTATTTATGCACATTCAAGAGTGACTGGTTAAACTGAAACAGCCTTGTTTAAGCATTTGTCAATGGAAGAAAACAAGAGTTGAGTGAAATAGAGAAAGTTCACATGAACACTAGAATATTTCTCAGACTCTTTATTTTCATTCTTTTCATTTTTCAATCACATAGCAAATTTTCAACAACATATACAAATGTCAAATGTATCTGTCATTCCCACAAAATCTGTGAAGCTTTTGTATCAGTATCATTTCAAGGAAACAAGCTATTTACATGCATCATGTAGTTGATAAAAAAGCAAGGCTTAGCTTTACACCAAACATAATTGATACCCATGGGCATTGCCACTTATATTAGCCGAGAAAAGATGATAAAGTTGTATGTAGAACAATGTAGTACAATGACACTGAATGTAAAGTTTCTCTACTTAAGGTGATTCTTCAGAAAAAGAAAATTACAGAACAAATTTTTTAAACCTTGCCTCCAATGTTCCTTACCAATATCTGTTTTCAAATATACAATAAAAGAGATAGGTCACCATGCTTGTTTATGATACATGATGGGCCAAAATTACCCCATTTTCAAATAATTTTTTTTTATTTCCCCAATTCAAAGAGGATAAATTGCACACCAAAATTATGCAAAAAAAATATGTCATTATGATTGTTCACCAGCTTAAGACTATTGTCACTATTTTTCATGTCCTTGGATTGAAAAACAATACTCTGTTCTTGGAATGAACATGCGATCATTCCCCTAGTTACAGGAGTTTTCAGCACAGTAAGGATGCACAGTGCAAAACTGTGGAATCACTTTATCACAAAAATCCAATGTCTCCATTTATCAGTTCTGTTATAGATCACAAATGTCAAAAGGTGGCACAAAAAAAGGGGGGGAGGTAGCACAAGGTGTCAGCCAAGTGTGTCCCTAATATTCTTCCCACAGTTTGACCTCTCCTGTGATCTATTATTATCCAACTGCTCTAAGTAATGTAAAAATAACATGTCAATCAAGTACAGTAAAATTCAACTTATTATGTTAAACTATACTGATAATTATCTCTCTCTCGAAGAGAATGAGATATGCTACTGTATCAACAACAACCATGATAATTTTATATTAGCTATCAGCCCTTACAGTGATTATGCTTTCCTTCAAAAATGTTTTAAAAGGCGTGTTGATCACTTTGGCTTTAAAGACAAACGGATGTTTAAATCGTTTCTTCAAGGATAATGAGTCACAGACGATTGTGGATCGCAAAGTATAGACTGATGTATTGGCAACGCTACTAGAAATATGAAGCCTACTTATAGATTTAAGCACACTTGTTTAAAATAACCTATGCACTTCAGCAAATAGTACATTCTGCAATTGCCCCAAGTTTTTAAATTCAAATAGTTTTTCGTTCGTGTTTCAAGCTTGATGTAAAACCGTTAAGTTAACCGTCGCGTATCACAGACCGTGTCGAAGTGAAATGTAGAAATGGAAGTCATACTTCTCCATAATCAGACATGTAGTTAGTACTTGTATGCCCACACCAGTTTGGTTCAAACGTGACGACCATTTTCGAAAATGATCTCACCGCCCTTTTCGCAGCTGTTCTAAGCGCACGAATATGTATCTGTGATTTATCGAAAGCGTGAGCAGTTGGTTTCAAAGTGAGCATGCAATAAACAGATGTAAGTGAAGGAAACAATGATTTTCTCGACGGTCTTCACCATAAGATTAAAAATGAAGGAAAAGAAACTGTAGGAAAACTGGAAGCTAGTTGAAGACGCAATCTGTCGTTCTCTTACCTCTTATACCGAGTAAAATAACCTAAACTCGCTGTATGACACCGTTTTCCAGCAAACGCACCTTCAAGGTTCATGCTCAAATTTCGTGCATGCGCATTGAGACTCGCAGACTGGGAACCAGCGCTGCTGATAGAAGGTCACATGATCCACAGCGACCTGGCCAAACATACCGAAATATTCAGTCACGCATGCCACCTTCGGACTAGTTGAAAAAAAAAATGCCCGAGTCTAACCAGTCAAAGAATAATAATTGCTTCTGGTGAACAAAAGATTAGATAGGTTTGCATGCATGTCATCCCTCTCAGATCTGACTAAGACAAAACCAGAACGCCTTGAATGAAGAATGAGAAATGTGGAATGGGAAAATGAGGAATGGGGAATAGGGAATAGGGAATGGGGAATGAGGAATAGGAAATGGTGAATGAGGAATGAGGAATGAGGAATGGAGAGTGAGGAATAGGAGATGGGGAATGGGGAATGGGGAATGGGAAAATAAAATGAAAAATTGAAAATTTTTTTCAATTTTTTTTTTTTTTTTTAAGATTTACTGTTTATAATGAGGAACATATATTTTTCATCGATATCCGCGTTCTCTTTCAAAAACGTTCAGTGGCAAAATATCCTCGGATATTCCCCCGGTTTTAAAAGAGGAATATTTGTTAATGTGACGCGTTTAGACCAGTCGCGAGCGAGAAAATATTTGATGGATTATAATCGAGGATATGTCCCATGCAATATTCCCTAATTTCAAGATCTACGTCCATTACGATAAGTCTTCGTTTAAAGTCAATTTAAGGAGATAGAGCGTTTTGTGGTTGTTGTAAAAGAGGGAAACATGTTTGTTTGTTCATAAAATCGTACTAGAGAACACTGAAAAGTGAACATCCCACACATTAAACAGTTAACTTTTTGTAAACACTTTTTTTACTGTAATTTGCAAAAACATTATAAGGATAATAAACCAAATAGCCTCCATTTTGCGAAAAATAAAATGAAAAACGAACTTTTTTCCCATAGATATCCATCTGTGAGTTCGGATTGTCGTACGGAGTTAATAGTGACTTGGACTCTGAAAAATTCAATTGGGCTAACTCCTTTAAAAATTACAATTTATCAATAAAACACACAAATGGCCCCTTCACCAATTTCAGAAAATTTGATTCAACCTATCACTTGTTCGTGAAACGAATAAAATTTGTTTTTGCAACATTCTTTAGCTGTCATGTATCACTTCTTTTTTATCATCAATTTACTCCGTTCCTTAAATTTTGTCTCTCAAAATGTTTTGAACGAAAGCGTGGATATCGATGAAGGCCACTGAATTAATTTTTATTCGCATGATAAACATAAAATTTCCAAAAAATTCATTTCCCATTTTCAGTTTCCCATTTCATTTTTCCCATTTCCAATTCCTATTTATTCATTCCCACTCCTCATTCCCCATTACTTATTTCCCATTCTCCATTCCCTATTCCCAATTTTCCATTCCCCATTCCCCATTCCCTATTCCCTATTTCCTATTCCCTATTTCCTATTCCCTATTTCCTATTCCCTATTTCCTATTCCCTATTTTCTATTCCTATTTTCCTATTCCCTATTTCCTATTCCTATTTTCCTTTCCTTTTCCTATTCCCTATTTCCTATTCCTATTTCCTATTCCTATTTCCTATTCCTATTTCCTATTCCTATTTCCTATTCCTATTTCCTATTCCCTATTTCCTATTCCTATTTCCTATTCCCTATTTCCTATTCCCTATTTCCTATTCCCTATTTCCTATTCCCTATTTCCTATTCCCTATTTCCTATTCCCTATTTCCTATTCCCTATTTCCTATTCCCTATTTCCTATTCCCTATTTCCTATTCCCTATTTCCTATTCCCTATTTCCTATTCCCTATTTCCTATTCCCTATTTCCTATTCCCTATTCCCCATTCCCCATACCCCATTCTCCATTCCTTATTTTCCAATTCTCATTCTTCATTCCCAGGAGCCCATGATGGGCTCCTGTCATTCCCTATTCTCGTTTTCTATTCCCATTCTCCGTTTCTTAATCTCCATTGTCCATTCCTCATTCTTCATTTCTCACTTTCCATTTCCCATTTCCCATTCCCCTCTTAAGTAAAATCTCTCGCAAAGCCCATTGTTTGCACCTCTAGGTTCTATGCTCATTCAAATAAGCTGTCCATGAAAACTGTAGGTTTATTTCTCTCTTCGTTTATGAATTGCGATCTTAATCACTGAAATAACATGCATGCTGAAAGATTCCTTGGACGCAATTTTATCATACGTGTCGCGCGTGCCTCTTACATATTGAGGATATGAAATAACAACAATGCCACGGGTTAGAAACTTATCAAAGGTAGAAGTTTTAGGGTAAGCCAATCTCTGTTGTTCCTTACTGAAGAAATACGGCGAGGACTGGAACAGAGACGCGGAAACCGAATTCAACAAAAGCTTGTTATCAAAAACTACAGTTGTGAATATCTTCAATGTATCAGCTGGTAAAACAATGCGGGTGTCGCGCCTAAACGAACAGCGCAAAAAAAAAAAATTGACAGTCAAAGACTGCATGTGGCTACTAATGTGGCACAATTTTCATAGCATTGAACAGAACTAGAGGTTGTATAATAACGCTAGAAGGTAGTGTTGCAAAAGATTTGTCTCATATACTAAACAGAAAACCTGCCGCATGTTTATGAGTACCCTGTTCTACAAGAGAAAGGTGATTCAAGCTTCGAAGCTTCCATGATGCGCAGATCATATCTATTGAAATATTTTCAGGAAAAAGTGCTGATTTATATTATGCGTCGGTGGATGCTACTGTCAAATTATTTTGAGATGTTTATCGTCTTTTGTAGTGTCACGGAAAGACCTGAAAAAAATCACATATTTGGAACTACATAATTTGCTGTTTTAAACAGTAAAAGGCTCTCTCTCCAAAGAAAAAATTTCCCAAAGTTTCATGATGCGCCGATCACACCTATAAGGATATTTCTGCAAGGAAAACTTGTCTTTTTAATAGCGAGCAATCCTGAAATGATTGTGAGATGTTTATTGTCTCTGTTGTTTTTTGTAACGTCACGGTAAGAACTGAAAAACAATGTGCTAGTGTCTATATGCCAGAAATCACAAATCACTTTTTCTTTACTTACAGAAACGTAAAAAACCGGCGAGAATTTAGTATAGAGAGCGTAGCACCGTACACAAAAAAGGGTTAGCCATGTCGAAACTCGAACAAGCCCCCGCCACCAAAGTCGATCGTCCGAACAATCGCGATT